TATAATCAGATTATAAAACGACTAACTATAAGATTTCACCTTCCTTATAACTGTAAAATACATATTTGTATGTTTAGTGTTAGAGAAAATTTGCATATTTTCTAAAGGTCTCTCTTGATCAAAACGTCTGCTCCCATCGCTGTGAACGTCTCACATAGCTCTAGCTTGCTTCCTGAACTTGTTAGGAACTCACCTTTCCTCTCATACTAATCTTGTCAATCTATGACAAACAGAAAGTGTATTTTGTTTAAAATCTATTAATTATTTTAGATTAATGGCCATAAATCGATCTCTGAATGTGCTACAGTGATAAACACTCTCCTGCTGTGCTACGATGTAAGGATTGCAGGCATGTGCTGTGGCTGTGATGTAGGGTTCAGCCAGGAGTTGATGGACAATCGGAAGAGCTAATTAAATGGTAAGAGGGACATCCCAGCTTCAAGTGGTTTCAGATTTCACATCCTACATCACACTCAGAAAATATACTGTTGTGTCTGTGGGAACCAGGGCAATCACTCAATGCAAGCCAGTTCGATCTACGCTGTCCACAGATTTAAAGCAAAAATGTTGGTCGGAACCGGTACCAGAACTTCAGATCTAAGAGGTTTTTAATCATGGGGTTGTTAAATGACAGATATGTATTTGTTTGAAATCTATCACTAGATGGTTTCATTTCAGAGAGACAAACAATCCTATTTTGTTGGAAATTGCTATATATCCGCCTCACTCTCAGAGAAAGTACTGCTAGGTTTGATAAAAATATAATTTTTTATAAAGAACTATACAAATGAATAATTTGTGACATCAATATTTAAAAAATAATTAATACATGAATATGAGATCTGTATGTAAAATACACAGGATGCGAACGTTACATTCCAGTTAAACAATGGATATATAGTGTTTTGCAACAAACCCCATTTTAATACACATCTAAAATCTATTAATTAAAAATCTGAGTACATCACGGTACCCATAAGCATTCATTTCTGATGAAAAAACACAAATATGAAAAACTGGTCTATCTAGCATTTTTGAAGTAAACTGTTCATGTACTTTTACACATTCTAAATACAGCATTCACAGTATACACATGGCCATTATACTTTTGCCAGTTATAGATGTATGACCTCTGACTAAATATATGAGTACCATCACGTGGAGGGGGGCAAGGGAGACATACAGGCATCGTGCCAATTCAAACAAACACACAAGGGTTATCTCTCCAGCTCCCATCTCACCATTTCCTTCCATCGGCTCCATGTGTATCCTGCTCTGCTCCGGTCCAGTCTGGCAGGATATGGTAACATGTTAATGACCATAGAGATCCTATTAAATTCTTATTTAATTAAGTATTCTAATTCCTAATTCTTTGTTACTGACACACCTGACAAAACAAAACATTATCTCTCTCGCTCGCAGACGTGAGAGAGATTGCAGTGGATTAATGCAGGGTGTAGAGGAAGTGTGTTCTTACTGCCAGCCTGCCTTTCTGACTCCCCTGGACCAGCCCAAACATCCATGGAATGTGTGAAAAGCATCTGACTTTCCAGGGACATTCTCTCCTTCTTTGCTCCTTCTCTCTACCTCTCTTCCTTCTCTAAGCTACTCTCTGCTTGTGTTTGTTCCCTGAATATTTTTTTTGATTTAATGACCTATTTATACCAAATTCTTCTTACACTGAAGAAGAAGAAGAAGAAGGCAATTATGCGGAAAATGTTCTTCAATAGAATACTACTGTAGTGGCTTCATTATGATTCACACGTTTTATCAGGCCAGGAGAACCACGTGACCACCCAAAAGTCAAACAAGAGGCACACCCTGATACCATAAATAATTAGCATTGTATGGGAATGCCAAGTTGGCAAAGGGTTGAGAATGCAGAACTCACTACCAAACAATGAAAAGCAACACACATACACACACACATAAACACAGGCATACATTCTAACAACTTTTTCACATCTTTGGAAGCCTGCCTAAACTCAACTTAATTTGAGAAGTAAAAGTATTTACAGTAACAGAAACTGCTATGTCAGGGGCTTGGGGCTGTTCCCCAACCCCTCCTCCTACTACCCCCCACTTCCCTCCCAGAGGACTATAGGGTATGAGAATAGCGGGAACCAGGTTACCGAGATTTACTGAGATTAAATCTGAACTAAATGGCTAGGGCCATTCGCCCCAGAAATGTGTGGGAACTTGCAGGTGCCTTGGTGGAAGAGTGGGGTAACATCTCACAGCAAGAACTGGCAAATCTGGTGCAGTCCATGAGGAGGAGATGCACTGCAGTACTTAATGCAGCTGGTGGCCACACCAGATACTGACTGTTACTTTTGATCCCCCCTTTGTTCAGGGACATTTCTGTTAGTCACATGTCTGTGGAACTTGTTCAGTTTATGTCTCAGTTGTTGAATCTTGTTATGTTCATACAAATATTTACACATTAAGTTTGCTGAAAATAAACGCAGTTGACAGTGAGAGGACGTTTCTTTTTTTGCTTGAGTTTATGTATTGGATAACAGCACAATCATTTGGGCTTTTTTGAGCTTTGGCTTATAAAATGTCTTTAATGTAGGCTCATAAAATATATTTAATGTATGGCTCATCTGGCTCAGGTAGCATCAGGCTTGAATGTTCATGCCGATCAAAGCTCTAATCAAATGCTTTAGAATGCAACTTCCACTTTTGGCGTGAAATACCAAATTTAAAAAGTGATTTATTCTTTTGATGGAACATTTGTAAAATACCAGGAAAATATTCAACCGTTATGAGAACACTATACTGTACTGTATATTGTATACTATCACTGGTAGGAAACAGAAACCTACAGTCTCAGAAAATACCCATATTCTACAACATTTTGACCTACAAGTTTTTGAACATACATCTACTTAAAATCAGACTTATATTCAAAGACGAGTAAAAAACAAACAAAGGAGTCAAAATGTCTGCTACTGTACCTTCACTGGTCATTAGATGCTTCATACAATGTTTTCACAATGTTTAAGTTGATTGATTGTTTCTAATCATTAACACATTTTCTGAAATTCTGCTACCATGGACTAAGATAGACTTTATCTCAATAGGAAAACCTAGTAAAAGAGGTTGTTTCACTACAAATTGAAGCGATCATGTGTGATCGTTAGTGGCTTTACTCTGTTTGTAATGGCAACTTTAGCCAGCTGGTAAGTGGGGTGGAAACTATTGATCCAGAGCTGACATTTCCCCAGTTTACCCTCTAATTCACCATTAAATACACACTCATTTGACTCCCATGTAGGTACTTGTATTAATGCAATCAACAAGCAACTGATAAGCTAGGGGTTTATTTGACAGTTTGAACACGTGAGAGAGGAAATTAAGATAAAGAACAACGCTTATATTAAATACTTAGGATGCTTAATAACTACAAACGACAAATAGCTAAAGATAACTTTATTCCATTACTCAACAATATGAAAGCAGATCTAATTAAATGGAATTATCTTCTATTAAATATTACTAGTAGAATAAACCTCTTTAGAATGGCTTGGCTTTATTACCCCACCAAAGACATTCTTTAAAAAAGTATACTTGGTCTTAACAGACTTTACATGGGCAAATAAAATTACATCTTCCTAAGTCTGAGGGTGGTTTTAACCTTCCAGACTTGGAAACTCGCTACCCAAGGCTTTTACTTGCAACATATTCCACTAAAGAGGAACTATGGCTACATATTGAAGATGCCATGTTCATCCCCAGAAAAATTTTTACGTGTCTATTTTCAAAGGAGAATAATAAGTCACATAATAAGTCGCATGGACTCACTCTGTGTGCAATAATAGTGATTAACATGATTTATGAATGACTACCTCATCTCTGTACCCCACACATACAGATAATTGTAAGGTCCCTCAGTCGAGCAGTGAATTTCACACACAGATTCAGCCACAAAGACCAGGGAGGTTTTACAATGCCTCGCAAAGAAGGGCACCTATTGGTAGATGGGTCAAAATAAAAAAGAGCTGACATTGAATATTCCTTTGAGCATGGTGAAGTTATTAATTACACTTTGGATGGTGTGTCAGTACACCCAGTCAGTTGCCAGAAAGGAAGGAAACTGCTCAGGGATTTCACCATGAGGGCAATGGTGACTTTAAAAACAGTTACAGAGTTTAATAGCTGTGATAGGAGAAAACTGTGGATGGATCAACAACATTGTAGTTACTCCACAATACTAACCTAATTGACAGAGTTAAATTAAGGAAGCCTGTACAGAATAAACATGTTCCAAAACATGCATCCTGTTTACAACAAGCCACTAAAGTAATACTACAAGAAATGTGGCAAAGCAATTAACTTTTTGTCCTTAATAAAAAATGTTATGTTTGGGGCAAATCCAAAAACAACACATTACTGAGTACGACTCTCCATATTTTCAAGCATTGTTGTGGCTGCATCATGTTATGGGTATGCTTGTAATCTTTAAGGACTGGGGAGTTTTTCAGGATAAAAAAAATCAACAGAATGGAGCTAAGCACAGGCAAAATCCTAGAGGAAAAACGTGCTCAGTCTGCTTTCCACCAGACACTGGGAGATGAATTCACCTTTCAGCAGGACAATAACCTAAAACAAAAGGCCAAATCTACACTGGAGTTGCTTACCAAGAAGACAGTGAATGTTCCTGAGTGGGTGAGTTACAGTTTTGACTTAAATCTACTTGAAAATCTATGGCAAGACTTGAAAATAGTTGTCTAGCAATGATCAACAACCAATTTGACAGAGCTTGAAGAATTTTGAAAATAATAATGGGCAAATATTGTACATTCAATGTGTGCAAAGCTCTTAGAGACTTACCCAGAAACACTCACAGATTCTAACATGTATTGACTCAGGGGTGTGAATACTTATGTAAATCAGATATCTAAAAATATATATAATTCCACTTTGACATTATGGGGTATTGTGTGTAGGCCAGTGACACAAAATCTCAATGTAATCCATTTTAAATTCAGGCTGTAACACAACAAAATCTGGAAAATGTCAAGGGATGTGAATACTTTCTGAATGCAGTGTACATAGTCATCATACCCTGGTTTTCACATGCTTTCACCCTAGGAGCCGAGGCTATACCCTGGTTACCCTAATCCATATTACATAAAGGTCAGACTATCACAAACATTCCCCACTTCAAGTCTCAAGTTGCAAAACAAGAGTATAACCCTAACATAGATACCCAAGTCTATCTCATCCAGCATTCCACTATCTCATCCAACATTCCACTTAATTGAGTTTCTGACATAATCAACTCAAAGAAAAACCCATTAATAACCAATCATCCATTTATTTAAGCTTTTCCAGAGGAGGGAATATTTTGCTGTGACTTCATAGCCTTGACCAAGAGTCTCTGTTTCTCCTGTAATTTATCCTCAAGACACTGGATAAGGACCGGGTCAACTTTGGGATCCACCTTATTGGCGAACCAGCTGCCGTAGTTCAGGAGCCAGCGCAGCTCCCCCGCCCCATAGATACACACACTGCGGACGTGTTTCCCTGTGCATGATGGGTAAAGCGGTCCCTCCAGGTAGTTCCACTTCACCAGCCTGGTCTTACTCATCAGGTCTGTGACGTCGGCCTGGGCCCGGGGCACCTCGCCCGGCACGCCCGGCACCCGTGTCAGCGTGGCCCAGAAGTGTTCGTCTGGGGAGTAGGTGTCTTTTGACCACACTAGGAAGTCCCTGGCCAGCGCAGACGTGTTCACATAAGTGACGAACTCCCGCGAGAGCACGAAGTACGCGCTGCCGATGAACATCTGGATGCCGTGCGGCGGAGGCCCCTTGGCCTTGTTGGTTTTTACCGGCAGTTGGTGGTACTCGAATGATGTGTTCTGCAGCTCGTGGTGGAAGGAGAAACGCTGCTTCTTGTATTCGCTGGGGCGACTTGTCTCCACCATGTTACCCCCCCGGAGCTTCTTCAGGTCAGCCACCAGCTCTATGTTGGAGCGCAGGGGAAAGTCCTGACCGCACAGGTTGATGACATACCTCCACTTGACCTCTGACCCTATGAGGTCAGACAGGCAGTTGAGGTCAGCACTGAGGCGGCTGATGCTGGCATACTTCACTGCCTCCAGCTTAGAGGCGATGAAGACGTTGGGCAGACAGCGAGCCAAACCCTCCATGGACTCTCTGAACAGTTCTGATGACTTCAGGTCGTAGTGGATACAGTAGATGTTGTTAGGGGTGTAGATGGCCCTGAGGATCTTCTCCACCATGGAGGCAGACTTGTGGACCACCAGTGAGTAGGCCAGGGGGAAGGCCTGCTCCTCCTCAGACACCTGGACAGCCCCATAGCCCCGGGAGTCGAGGTATCGCGGGCAGTTAGAGGTCAGGTTGACCAAGCTCTTGTCCTGCTCCTCCACCACCGCCTGTTTTCTGATGACCAGCGACTTCCCCAACTCGGCCGGTTCCATGTCGTAGATGGCATTGCAGTCAATATTGTAGCGGTGGAGCAGCTCAACGTCATGGTGGCCTGCAGTAGTCCCATAGGTTTCAATGGTAATGCTGTATTTAACAGTGACCTTCAGGCAGAGCAGCAGCAAGGCACAGATCACCAGCAGCAACGATAAAGAATAAATGAAATGCTTCTTCCACAGTCTGCTTGAAAAGGCACATCTTAATTTCATTCTGTGGTGATGCAAAAGAACAATAGATAGAAACAAAGGTCAGTTCATGCATGTGTGACGACCCTCCCACTCTGCCGAATTCTTTCTCTCTGCTCTTGTTTTCCTTAATAGGATGTTGGTGGGCAGAGCTGGGAGGGTCATCAGTGAAATGGGACATACCTGGGCTCTGGTTATTTCTTTAGCTCTGCGTTGTCTCCCTCTTTGTTACAGGCTACGAGCCGGTTCGTAACACATGCACTCACATTTACGTCATTTATCAGACGCTCTTATCCAGAGCGACTTACAGGAGCAATTAGGGTTAAGTGCCTTGCTCAAGGGCACATCGACAGATTTTTCACCTAGTCGGCTCGGGGATTAGAACCAGCGACCTTTCGGTTACTGGCACAACGCTCTTAACCACTAAGCTACCTGCCGCCCCAGGTATGCAAACTGAAGAAAAAAAATTAAGGATTTAACTGAATAAACATTTGTACAATATGTTTGATAACCATGCTCTACTAGTTATTTGCTCTGTTGCTTAAACTCCTTAAATGTTGGGCTAAATATATATTCCTGTAAAAAAAAAAAATCACCTTGCTCAGGAAATGATGTGGAGGTCTCTGGGAACGTCCTGAGAAGATTACTTGTTCTAAAACCCGAGCCTGGAGAGTTAAAATGTACAGTAAGGTCAGAAATTATTGGCACACTTGATAAAGATGAGAAAAAAGACTGTATCAAATCAATAATACAAATACTGAGCTATATTGTATGCAAAAAAATAGATTTAGTTAACAAGTAATACAAATTAAAACATCTCAAAGAGATAGGGGTAACAATTATTTGCATCCCTGTTTTCAATACTCCAGCACCCTCCTCTTTTGAGGGTAACAACACTGAGCCTTTTTCTGAAACGTTTTATGAGATTGGAGAACACATTGGGAGGGATCTTCCCAGCAAACAGGGGACATCTTAAGGACAATGTTCCCATTAGGTCCCTTTAAGGGTTTCGGCTGGACGTTATTCCACTGACATTCTGAGAACGTTCTAGGAACAAAACATGACATTCAACTCGGGACCATAAGAGGACGTTCAGTACAGGTCCTGGTTTGGTCGCAGTATAACGTTATAATATATTTTGATGTTCTTTAGGGAACGTTCAGAAAAGGTTCCTATTTGGTTCTGAAAGGATGTTATCCATGGGACATTCAATGACCACAAGGGGACGTTTCATGATGGTCAATAGGACGGTCGCATGATGGTCCCAAGGGAACGTTCTCTTAGGGACCTTTTGTCTAGTTCCCTAAAGTTACCTGGATGTCACTGAGGACCATGTCAGGACTTTTTCGCACATTCTCAGGAATTTCATTTTTACTAGTCATTAGGATGTATGATGGTCCCAAGGGAACGTCCCTGCAAAGAAAAAGTAGTCATTAGAACGTCCCCGGAACATCACAATGGTTGCCTAAAGTGGTCAGGTCGGTGTGTCATGGTCCCCTGGAGGTTTTGTCTAGTTCCCGGTTTGTCCCGGGGATGTCCACGGGGATGTTTTTAGGACATTCTTGGGACGTTGTGTCATTGTCCCCTAGAGGTTTTGTCTAGTTCCCGGTTTGTCCCGGGGACGTCCACAGGGATGTTTTTAGGACATTCTTGGGAAGTTGTGTCATGGTCCCATGGAGGTTTTTGTCACCTTATGTCCCAAACCATTATAAGTAGTAATGAAATGAGTGTTTTAAGGTTAGTGATACGCTGTTAATCTAAAACAGTCTAAATTCAATTACATTTTAGCAGACGCTCTTATCCAGAGCGATTTACAGTTTTAGTGAGTGCATACATTTTCTCATACTGGCCCCCTGTGGGAATCGAACCCACAACCCTGGCATTGCAAGCACCATGCTCTACCAACTGAGCTACACAGGGGGCTAGTATGATATTAATCAATGACAATATGATTACATTTGACATGATCACTTAGTACTGACTTTTCAATATGACTTCACCAGGAATTTGAACTCACAACCTCCGGATTTGGGGTATGCTGAACTTTCTGCTGCGCTGCAAAGTCAGAAGTCTGCTACAGTACACATTCATTACCTATAATACATGTCTGCACTTACCAAAATAGTGCCTGCTGCACTGCTATTTTAGTTATCAGTTAATTTGACTATCAGATTACATGAAATTAGAGTGTGCGTGTGTTAGCAGCAAAGGGGGGAGAGTGGAGGCTGTTATAGCAGCAAAGGGGGGACCAACTCCATATTCAGTGGTGTAAAGTACTTAAGTAAAAATATGTTAAACTACTACTTAAGACGTTTTTTGGGGTATCTGTACTTTACTTTACTATTTATATTTTTGACTACTTTTACTTTTACTTCACTACATTCCTAAAGAAAATAATTTACTTTTTACCCCATACATTTTCCCTGACACCCAAAAGTACTCATTACATTTTGAAGGCTTAGCAGGCCATGAAAAGGGTCCAATTCACATGCTTATCAAGAGAACATCCCTGGTCATCCCTACTGCCTCTGATCTGGCAGACTCACTAAACACACATGCTTCGTTTGTAAATTATGTCTGAGTGTTGGAGTGTGCCCCTGGCTTTCTGTAAATTATTATTTATTTTTTAAAGAAAATTGTGCCATCTTGTTTAATATAAGGAATTTTAAATGATTTTTACTTTCACTTTCACTTTTAATACTTAAGTATATTTAAAACCAAATCCTTTTAGACTTTTACTCAAGTAGTATTTTACTGGGTGACTTTCATTTTTACTTGAGACATTTTCTATTAAGGTATCTTTAATTTTACTCAAGTATGACAATTGAGTACTTTTTTCACCACTGCCTATATGTTGGTTATATGTATATCTATAAAGTTATTGTACTGTATATGGTCTGCCTGCACAGCAAGTAGCCTACATCCCTTTGAGGATAAATACAGTTTATTGAATTGAGTTTAATTGAGAAGTAACACTTCCTAGCAATGACTCGAATTTTCAAATGGGATAGATTTCTCACGTCGAATGTTCTGTTCTGAAGAATAATGAATCACTCCATGTGCTCTGCATTTCAAGCTCTGGTAAAAACTATAAACTCATTTAATTGTGAATTACAAGATTACACGTTTTTTATTATTACTTTTCTCTTTGCATACAGGTATAACTTACATAACTTGTTGGAATTCTTTATCTTCAATTTCTGTTGACCAAGGTCAAATCAAAAGTATTTGCCCCTGTACTTTTCATCAATTTCTCGAAAGTGTTATTCCACAGTCAGATTGTTGTTCGCTGCATGGTAAACTCCTCTAATACCCCACCATTGTGTTGTTAATTGCAGAGCTCCGTCTGTCTTCGGTTAATTCCCATCATGTTAAAATTATCCGTTATCGCTCTCTTTACGCTTGGACTCTGACAGCCGCGCGGGGTGAAGTTTCCTTTTCACTGCAGCAATGGAGAGAGAGAGAGAGAGAGAGAGAGAGAGAGAGAGAGAGAGAGAGAGAGAGAGAGAGAGAGAGAGAGAGCGGTGTCAATGTACCACAAGAGTTGAGGACCAGTGAAGTCAGATTCCCTCCCTCTCGCAAAGATTGCGTCCCCTTTTGAGGAAGACTACTGATTAAATATTTTATTATTATATATATATTTTTGTGTTAAAAAATGTAACGTTAAAATACCTATCACATTACACATTTAGTAATGACATAATGCATTAGAAACTCCATGCACAGTGTCACGTTCGTTGAATGACGGGTCAGACCAAGGCGCAGCGTGATATGCGTACATGTTTATTGAACTTAACAAACACACAACAAAACAACAACGGAAACGAAACGTGACGTCCTAAGGTAGACTACACAACTAACCGTACCAGGAACAAGATCCCACAACTAGACAGTGCCAATAGGCTGCTTAAGTATGGGCCCCAATCAGAGACAACGAGAGACAGCTGCCTCTGATTGGGAAACACACCGGCCAACATAGAACTAGACATACTAGATCCTAATACATAGAACAAGCACAACAAGGAATATACACACCCTGACTCAACATATAAGCGTCCCCTGAGTCAGGGCGTGACACACAGTATAACCTGTCTCCATGCACAGTAAAACTTGTATGACTTAAAGATCAACTGCCCCTTAGAACCAACTTCTCTGGTTTTAAATGGCCTATGTGGCATCGATATGAGTCAGAAAAATTCATTATAATGTCAAAATGTACTACAAAGTGTAAATATGATAATTGTGGTCATAAAGTCAGTTTCGTCCAAAACTGAGTTTTGTAAGTGAGTTCATCACGATTTACTGGAGGATTGGGTATAGATTACTAACATGCCTACTTTTGCCAGTAAGTGAGTTCATCACGATTTACTGGAGGATTGGGTATGGATTACTAACATGCCTACTTTTGCCAATGATGCAGAAACAACAATTTGTGGTCCGCCCCCAACTGCCATGTGGAAAATGTTGTCAAGTCTGCATACGGGTGCAATGCATGCACAATTGGCGATCAGCAAATAGGAGTGAAAATGGGCTTCCTTAAAATTGGTGCAAACTTCCAATGCATTTCAACAATATTGCCAGATGGCCAGGAATGTATTACATCCGATGCATTTACTTCTGTGACTGGTGTTAGTGAGTATGTTAGCTAATTAGATAGCTGGAACTACCTAGCTAGTAGCTACTTTTGGTTATACAACATTATTTGAGCATGCTAGCAAGCCAGGCTAGCAATGAAATCACAGATGAAAGTGGAATGATTTTGTAGCTAGCTAAATACATTAAGCTAACGCAAAATGTGATATAGCATGTCAGATGAAGATGTGCGGGCCTCCTGAGTGGCGCAGCGGTCTAAGGCACTGCATAGCAGTGCTTGAGGCGTCACTACAGACCCGGGTTTGATCCCAGGCTGTGTCACAGCCGGCCGTACCCGGGAAACCCATGAGGCGGCACACAATTGGCCCAGCGTCGTCCGGGTTAGGGGAGGGTTTGGCCGTCCGGGATTTCCTTGTCCCATTGCGCTCTAGCGACTCCTTGTGGCGGGCCGGGCGCCTGCAAGCTGACTCGGTCGCCAGCTGGACGGTGTTTCCTCCAACACATTGGTGCGGCTGGCTTCCGGGTTAAGCAAGCAGTGCGGCTTGGCAGGTTCGTGTTTCGGAGGACGCATGGCTCTTGACCTTCGCCTCTCCCGAGTCCGTAGGGGAGTTGCAGGGATGGGACAAAACTAACTACCAATTGGAAATCACGAAATTGGGGAGAAAAAGGGGTAAAAGTTTTTTTTTAAACCTTGCTAACAACAGCTAACTGTTGCTTATTTGCATTTAGGGTCAATACAGGGCAGGCATTGGATACCAGCTTGCCAACTAATCATAGGATGTAGCCAGCTTCCTTTCATTAATGTTTCAGCTCGAACTGGCGAGCTAGCTAGCCAACTCAAACTCGGACAAAGATATTGATAGCTAACCCGGATTTGCAAGTTAGTTGCTAACTACCCACTGGGCACAGACATCAATTCACCGTCTATTCCACATTGGTTCAACATCATTTAATTGAAATGACATGGAAACAATGTTGATTCAACCAGTGTGTGTCCAGTGGATAGCTAGCATTCGAACTGACTTGTTGGAAAGGTGGCATCCTATGACATTGATGTTCAGTACAGGTCCCGGTTTGGTCACAGTATATTGTTATAATAAGGTATTTTGATGTCCATTTAGGGAACATTACCAAAAGGTTCTTATTTGGTTCTGAAAGGATGTTATTCATTGGACATGCAATGACTACAAGAGGACGTTTCATGATGGTTAAGAGGACGATGGTCAAGAGATGCCACCAGGTCTGTGTCAATGACTGATTTCACCTGTATTCCTACACTTTGCACTTTAAAGTAAATATCAGCTCTCTTAAAAATACAATCAAGAAAAACTATTATATTTATCATAGTGATTCAGAAGTAACATTAAATCAGAATATTCCCCACCAACATTAGACAACTATACTGAAAACCCTAAAATTGCTGAAATAAGTAAATTAAATCAATGAGAGAATAGTCGGAATAACTGATAACTACAATAGCAGTGCAGATGGCACTCTTTTGCTAAGTGCAGAGATGTTTTATAGGTTATGAATGTGTAGGGGAATTCTGCTGTCAAATGTGTCAGTGAAATGCGGTGGGCAAAGTCAAACGCAGGACACAGAGTTGATCAAAAAACGTACTTTACTAGAAAGTAATCTGAGAATACACAATCTCCACACAGGGAGGAAAACCCGCACACTAACGACTGCCGATAACAATAACAATCACACACAACACACAGTGTAAGACAGAGGGTTAAATAGGGAAGACAATACTACATAATGGGAAACAGGTGTAACCAATCAAGACAGAACAAGTCGAACATAGAAACATAGATCGGTAGCAGCTAGTACTCCGGTGACGATGAACGCCGAAGCCTGCCCAAGCAAGGAGGAGGGGCAGCCTCGGCTGAATCCGTGACAGTACCCCCCCCCTTGACACGCGGCTCCAGCCGTGCACCGACCCCGGCCTCGGGAATGGCCAGGAGGACGCGGAGCAGGGCGGGTCGGATGACTCTGGTGGAAATCCCTCAACATGGAGGGATCTAGGACGTCCCTCCTAGGGACCCAGCACCGTTCCTCCGGACCGTACCCCTCCCACTCCACGAGATACTGCAGGTCGCCCACGCGACACCTCGAATTCAAGATGGAACGGACCGAGGACTCCTGGAGTGGACCAGCTCGGGAAACACAACATTCATACACATATGCGCAACAGGGAGCTCTGGGTGAGTTGGGTGCCTACTCACCTGAAACGGCTCATCAGTGCGCTGCCTACTGCCTCGACTCCTAGGAGGCCCTCCCCAGCACCGACCAGCAGTGTGTCCTCTGCGGCCACAGTTGGTGCAGGGGACGGCCCCTCTACTGGTCTCCCTCATAGCAGCACCTCCGAGCTCCATAGGGGTAGGGTCGGAGGTGCTGGGGGATGGAATGGACGGCCCCGGATCCGGACGTCCGCAGGTAGCCAACAGGTTATCTAGTCGAATAGACATGTCCACCAGTTGGTCCAGGCTTAGGTTGGTGTCCCTGCAGGCCAATTCCCGACACCCTAAAGCGGCGGGTGAACTCCGCATAGCTGACAGTTGCGGCGTCTATCCCCCCCCCACTTGGCGTTGGCCCACTCCAGCGCTTTACCGGACAGACAGGAGATGAGGGCGGACACGCTCTCGTATCCCGAGGGGGCCGCGTGGATGGTTGCCAGGTAGAGTTATACCTGGAGCAGAAAACCCTGACACCCGGCAGCTGTGCCGTCATAAGCCCTCGGGAGCGAGAGCCGAATCCCACTGGACCCCGGAGGTGAAACGATGGGTATCGATGTAGGTGGTGGTGTCATCGGAGGAGGTATAGGAAGACCTCCTCTCTCCCATCGCTCCATTGTGTTAACCACACGTTCCATGGCGGTGCCGAGAGCCTGGATCATGGCTGCTTGTTGTTGTACGCGTTCCTCCATTGATCCGGCTGGCACCGCACAATGGTCTCGAAACACTGGTCTCCAAACAAGTGATTCTAGAAAGTTCGAGTGATATCCCTACCCTGGCCTCTCTATTCACCTCGCTCTCTCTATTTGGCCTATTGTTTTCAAAACACGTCAAAGACATAGGCCTCTCTCAAGTCCAGGCCTGAAGGTCTGTATCGAGGGTTCTGTAGCCCTGCTGGTTTTCATTCTCCCCGTCTAATCAGGGACTGATTTAGACCTGGGACACCCAGTGAGAGTGAATGGAATCTCTAACCAATCAGTGGCATTAATCAATCAATTAACTACAGTATAGGGAGCCAGTTACTGTAGTTATCTAACAGGGCAATCTTCATCCTGTTACAGTTACATTATGAAGGGAGACAGATACATTACTGTACTCAACCAAGGCCTTTATCCTGGAGAGCTAATTCCTACCAGATGTCTGTTTAACTGCCACCTGCTTTGGGGGAACATCCGCAACACTGTCGTCTCTCATGGAAGGTTTGTAATTGTTTAAACAACATCATCATCATCATGAGAGAGAGCCCCATGGCTGGAGTCATCTGAAACACACTAAACTATGTTAGTTAGATGAAATAACTATATGGTTCAAACTAGAGAGAGAGCTCTCCCACAGACTGCAAGCAAAGTCACATGCCCCCCGAGCAAGCAGCATCATTTTATTTATTTTTTATTTTTTGTCATTTAGCAGACGCTCTTATCCAGAGCGACTTACAGGAGCAATTAGGGTTAAGTGCCTTGCTCAAGGGCACATCGGCAGATTTTTCACCTAGTCGGCTCGGGGATTAGAACCAGTGATCTTTCGGTTACTGGCACAATGCTCTTAACCACTAAGCTACCTGCCGCCCCATCATCACCAGTCAGGGGCGTCATGCACCCATT